GGGGATTCCTGAATGAAAAGACCAGATTTTCCCCTTCTGCAAAGAGAGCGAGGGCATCCCTGCTCGCCAGCCTCCCGTCCCACGGGGCTCCTTCCTTTGCTGCTCTTAGAAGGGCGCTTTGCTCCGTTAGAAGGGCGCTAAGGAAGGATGCTGTGGTGTTCCTGTCCCTCTTCACAGTCAGGCAGTGGGCTCTGCTGGATGCAGCACACCAGTTTGAAACAAAGACCCTAGTCGAGCGATAAGCTCGGAGGGTTTGCTGAAGGATCCAAACAAGGGCAGCCTGTCGCAGCAGAGATAAGCAGCTGAGCTGTCAGAGCACCTTGAAAGCAAATCAGGGAGCAGCATCAGCAGCGAGCACAAAGATAAAACAGGGCAGCTCTGTTTTTCCCAGCTAAGGGAACGGAGATGGAGAGGTTTAAAAGTTTACCAAAGACATTACTTTATCAAGAGTGAATTTCTGGAGAGGACATGAGGCCCAAGCTCTTGGTCACAGCAAACAACGTAAGAAGTGACACAGTTAGACAAGACCTGTTGAATGTCCTGTCTCCAGCGCTGCTCTCCCTACAGCACCTGCTTAACAAAACTGTAGGGAATAAAAAAAAAAAAAAACCAGGCAACAAACAGAGATCTTTTCTCCTTCAAAAATAGTAAGCTTCATCCTCATTTCTCATGCTCTGAGCTGCTGAACGACCCTTGTGCTAGTCCTGGAGAAGCTGCAGGGGGGATATTTAATGCCTCCAAATGAAGGCACTTCCAGACTCAGAGGAGCAGCCCTCACCTCCATCCCTTCTTGGGCATACCAAAATGCTCAGACAGGTTGGCCAGGTTCACCCCCAACCAGTTATTTACTGCTTTTAATCCAAATGGTTCAGCTGAGTTCAATGCACCTGATTCTCACTAGTGTGAGCCAGGGGAGAATGAGACTTATCTGCACGCTGAAATAGGTCCAGGTGAATATACTGCATTTATTTACAAGGCACGTAGGATCCTGCTGTTGTTTGGGTCTCTTTGTTTTCTTTTGTTCTGCTCACATCAGAAAAAGGCAGTTTGATAAGATGAATCACTGGTACAGCCCATGAGCACTGCTACAAGCACAGGTCACTGTTTAAATATATCCAGCAGCCTCTTTAGAGACCGTAGGACAGCGGTGTTGTGGCTGGACCTTTTGTGCTATTCCCAGACCCCTCAGCAACCTTGTTCTCAGGCTGTGTGAACAGCAGCATTACTAACGCAGCTCCTGGAAGGGCAGCGTTGGAGACGTGCAGAGCCACCTCGTGCTCCATGCGTTGCGGAGGGCAGATATCAGGACAATGTGCAGGGGAGTGGTATAAAACACTCAAAGATCTGCAAGAATAAAATTCCAGTGTGAAAAGCAGAAAAATCCCCCTTGCACTGGGGTTCGGGATATTTTGTAGAGGCATCTGCACATTAGGGCATAATACAAAGGATTTTTCTTACACAACTTATTAAAAGCACTACTAATAATACACTGCAAGCCTGATCTGAAATAACCCTTGCTATTTCAGGTCTGGCTTTCTCTAGTACTGTGCCATCCTCAGTACCCATGCTGAGGCAGATAATCCTCACATGAAGGGATTGGGCTTAAAATGTCAGGAATCCACCATTGAACCTGAGAAGAAACAGAAGACCAGTGTCCCGAGAGCCACACTCCTCACACACAGCTCATCTGATCACTCGGTACGTGTGGCTGCTAACCCTGCTGCCACCCTGCCTCTTTCAAGATCTACAAACAGGATTCAAGCTCCAAAGTCACTAAGATGCTTTCAAACTTCTTATTTGCAAAACCTGCTGGTTTTGCACCAGGGAAGACAAATCTCAGAATCATTAAGGTTCGAAAAGATCTCTAAAATCATCAAGTCCAACCACTGACCTACCACCACCACACTGTAGGGAATACGTCCTGAAGTGCCACATCTACATGTTTTTTGAACATCTCCAGTGATGGTGTCTCCACAAGGTGAACCTCCCACAGACCTAGACCAGTGCTTTTGGAAATCCTTTCCTGGCTGGGAAATTGCCTTTTTCTATTAGGGGTGCAGAGCCTGGGTTAGCACCCCTGGCACAGCATCAAGCTGAAGAGCAGCCACTGCCACCAGTGTGCTGTGGCCTGGGTGTTTTAGCTGAGGGCTGGCATTTCAAGGACATGTGAGAATACAGTGAACTCCATGAGTCATTCCTAGGTAAAAAGATGTCCTACAAGGTTGTGGAGCCCCATGACACTCTCCTCTCCACCTCCCCAGGACACAGGGCTGTCATAAAAAAGGGAAGTCTTCCAGTGAATCTTACTGTATAAATGTTTTTTTTTTTTTTTTTCCCCTGACATTTGTGAGAAATTTAGTCTTTTGTAGCTTGTAGAGCCTCCAGATGATGGCAAAACTGTATTTCAGGCAGTTTGAAGAGTTAAATCCAAGAAAATACTGCCTGTTTCCAGAACTGTATTCATCACATGTTCTGAGTACAGACACTTAACCTGCATTTCTATTTTTTGAGCCTCTGAGATATAAAAGTTTTGGGATGTACAGGGGTGACCTGCTTCAGTATTTACATTTTCATAGTACTGAGGCTCAAAATCCCGGCGGTGTGCTCCTCACCCCCATGCCAGGCAGCAACCCCTGCCAAAGCACACAAAACCTGGGACACCTGGGGAGCGAGCTCCTCTGGAGAGCAGTCCAGTATGCTTTTGCTGATCTAGTTCCTTCATCATTGAGTATTTTGCTTATGATAAGAACTACACAAGCAAACATGGTGTGAATGACCTCGGTGAGAGTGACGTCAGCATCTACAGAGACACTCCAGAAGGCCATTTTGACTGACCGTCGATCTTTTGTCTCCAAGGCAGCATAGCTCAAAAATGCACCAAGGACTTCTCTGAGCTGTTTCTATCACTGCCCTCACCACCAGAGTACCTGAGGGCCTTCAAGTCCTGTATTAAGTAACATGACAAACATGTCACATCTGGTTCATTCTCTCTTTCCTTCTCTTCTGAAGGGGAGGATGTAAGTCCAGTAAATTGCTTTCATAGGGCTTTGGTTTTCCCTGCTTGGGCTGTTGTGTCTGGGAGGAGAAGCACTTCTAATGCAGAGAAGAAAAAAGGACAAGCTTTCTGTGATGGTGTCTGGTTTCTGTGGAAGGTTATTTTAGAGCCTCAGCTTGGGTCATGTTTGGTTTTGGAAGTAAAAAGTCCAAGGACCCTCAAGGAATGCAACTGTCAAACCTACTCCCCTTCTAAGGCATTTCCATAGGTATTAGCCCAAGTGATGGAGCAACCCAGAAGACTTCAAGCCTGACTTGCACCTCTATGGGAAGAAAGAAGATGAGTGTGATGGCTTGCATAACTCGTATCACACCGCAGCATTCAGCGTTGGCTGCATTTTCCTGAGGGCTGATGGCTTCATGCCCAGACACTGTACATTTCATTATGATAAAAAGACCCACTCAATTAAAGAGCTCACTCTTGCAGCCCTTATTTTCAAAACAACACTTGTATAAATGGTCCTATGGCTGACAGCAAGAAGGCTTGCGTAAGGAAGGACAGACCATTGAGCAAAAGTGGGATGAACAGACCAATCTAAATACGCACACGTAACCCAGCAGAAGTGTGCTTTTCAGTATGGGTAGTAGTAATTTCCCCTAAATAGAGCCCAACTTTCTCCAGTGAAGCAACAAAAATACCTAAAATAGTGACAACTGCAGGTTCTTATGGAAATTTTCTTCCAAGCACAGCTCTCCTACTTCCTTCTTTGAAGCAGATTTTGAAGCGTTTTGAAAAGTAAGCCGGGCTGCAGCACTTTTCCCTGATTGGGAATATTGTTTTTAAACCGCTTACTGCAGATTCCTGCTTCTCCGGTACAGCGCAGGGCGCAAGGCATCAGCAGTTTCTGTGCCTCCGCGGGAGGACAACCACCCAGGGAAGGCAGCCTGCCTTCGGTTCTGCTCTCCTGCCTGCATCAGCTGGGCTTGAACTGTCTGCCCGCAGTGCTTGTGTGCTGCCATGTAACGCAGTTGGGCGGTGTGGCTTTCCTTTCACGAGCTTGGGAAGCTCTTGGTGAAATGCCGCTGGGGATGGTCACTTGGAGGGAACGGGATGTGGGAACAGAGAGGGAACATCCCAACACCAGCCCCTCCTGCATGGCTCCCCATAGCTGGAAGAGGTTTCATGTCATCTTAAAGGCAAATCTCCACAGTGAGGATGCACACTGAGAATTTGAGTGTGAAATCTCCACAGTGAACCTGAGGAAAACTGCCTCAAATCCATATGGACAGTGTTTCGAGATAACTAAACGCACAAATAGGAAAGGAAATAAGCCATTCATCATTTTGTCTTTCCAAATTAACAAAGATCACTACTAGCAGGCTTATAACAACATCTGGGTAAGACAAAAAAGCCAAGTATGGGGCCAAGCCTGAGGATTTGGGGACCAGATCAAATAGGACAGAACAAGACTCTGTCCTTGAACTGGACCTGGGCAGAGTGGCCTCAGATAAAGCTTTACCTGAGTGACTTGAAGCTTTCCCCAGCTCCCCTCTGCCACCTCTGGCTGTGGCTGCCAGAGTGTGTCCCCACCAGCTGTTCCCCTTTCCTTTAGCACCACTGAAACCCTGACAGTGAGGACAAGATTATGTACCCACACCTGATGGCACCAGTTCAGATGGCCACTCAGACAAGTATTTATCTAAGCACATGCTTAACTCCATCCCTATTTAGCAAAGTACTTACGTATAGGCACAAATTTATGTCTCTATGGCTACAAGAGACGTAAGCCTGTCATTAACACTTTTTTTTCCTCAATCGGGGCTTATGTGCCATTCTTAGTGGCAGGACGATGCTCTGCATACGTGGAAGGCCACGTTTCTCCTCTGCTTCTCAGAGTCCCCTCTGGCCTTACCACGCAGGAGCCACAGCTATCCAGAGGCTCAGCAGCGCAGAGAGGCACAGAGGAGAGCGTGGTGCAGACAGACAAAGGCAAAGCAAGACTTACGTTGGCTTTGAGGCTTCAGCCTGGTCAGTCTGCAGTTTCTCCCCACCTTCAACTTCCATGGTGCAGTACACAATGCGGTTGGGGGCCAGCGACTTCAGACCCTGCACCTCCATGATGACAACCTGTGGGGCAAAGAAAGAGGAGTGTAAGAGGAGCAGCCTCCTTCAGATCTCGCTCTGGCTGCTGAAGCCATGGGGTCAGCTAATGCTGGGGTCCTCCACGTGCTGCTGGATGTTCATGGTGGCAGGTGGGTAGGGACAGCGGCACCGCCCAGGTTGAGCAGGGACCACGGCAGCCAGAGAGGTCTGTATGGAGACAGGGAGGTCCCCCTCTGACTGCACATGGGCTTGTTGAAAGCTTTGGGTGCCCAGGGCTCTATCAAGCTTCAGGAGATGGGCCTCACAGACACATTCCTGCCCCACCTAAAAGTGCTTTAATTTGTGAAATCCAGAAAAAAAGCACAGAGCTACTCAGCTTGTGCCAAAAGCCTGTTTTCAAGATTAATCACAGAATGGTTTGGGTTTGACCTTTGAAGATCACCTAGTCTGCAGTGGGCAGGGACATCTTTCACTAAATCAGATTTTTTTCTTTAAGGTGATTAATCCTATTAAACATGTATCTTAAACATTTCTACAAGAAACACTGTGGGAGGTTCTGTTTGTGTTTTATTACAGCTACCTATGAAGTATATACACAGGGGTTTAAAATTCCTCTCCTCATGTCTTCTGATCTGTCCTTGCACTGAGGATCCCTTCCCTGGCACACAGAGCACCGCAGACCCTCTGATGAGCACACATTTTTGGCAAAAGCTCTCTCGCAGCAAGAGTTTCATGCACAGGGCAGTGCACAGACCTGTCAGCTCCTGAAGTCAGCGCTTCACCGAGCATCTGCTTCCCACCGGATGGGGTTCAGCTGGAGCAAAGCATTTGAGACACCCCGTTGTAAGGGTGAGTCCCTTTATGCACAGCTATACATGCTGCACATGCTCTTCCAACAGAGAGGTCTACTGCTTTGCGACAGTTCCCTGCTCCTCCGTATGGGAATGCTTAGAAGTCAGGTTTTATTTGATGCTGCCGTTGAAGGCACCGTCCCTGGGTTCATAGCCTTATTTGTTAAATAAGACGGAACTGAATGTTACTGAGGTGGTTTCAGACGTCTAATGAGTTAAACTCTGAGACTGGACAGCCAGCGTCATTAAGTTCTGCATTGGCATGATATATATAACAAGAGACCCCTTAGGAAGATAAATAAACAGGAAACTACACAAAAGTAGAATTTCCTGATTATTCTGCATCCTACATTTTTGACCCCATCCTGGTAGTTGTTTTGACAACATAACATAATCCCACCCATTGACACAATTCTGTATGGGTCTGCTGATGACTCCCTGGAATAAAAGTCTTGCCTAGACTACAAATATGTTTGCACAAAACAATTAAGTTGGCTGAAAACAGCTACTGCACCAACGCTGCTTCCAGGACTGAGACAGCCTGTATCGGGGAGAACCGCAGTCCCTGCAGCACCCTGACTTCCCCTGGGCTGTACAGACAAACTGCTCGACAGAACGCTGAGCAGAAAGTCAGTGCTCCACACAAAGCAAAGAGCAAGCCAGCAAAGCGCAGTATTTCCACACAAACTGCGAGCCAATCTGTTGGGTGCATTCAAACCCCAGCAAGTTTTAACAATTCTCCAAAGAGGAAGCAAGGCTTCCAGGGAAATACAGTGACACCTCTAACCAGCAATAGTTAAACACAGTGACGTTTATGGTGTTGCATTATTGTACTGGTTTCAGGGATGACACAGGCTCAGGGTTAGTGGGGTACACTCAGTAACCAGCCGCACAAAGAGGTCAGTTAATGATGGAG